GTGAAAACTCAACTAGAACAATAGAATTAACTCACAGACTTTGTTGAAGGCTAAACAATAATATAATTTATCACGTATGCCTACAACATCACTTGTGACCTCAAAATTGAAGTCATTGTATGATGCATAATGTTTATTATTTTGTCAAGTAGCATCACTGTTTACCTCAGGTTAATTCAGTACAGAAAACGGTACTGATGACATATTCAGGAGTAACTATGTTAGTTTTATCATTAACATTCGTCAGTTAACTCAACTATGGTGCGATGGCACCAGGCAGTGAGTGCCTGCACCAGGCAATGAGTGCAAGCACCAGGCAGTGAGTGCCTGCACCAGGCAATGAGTGCAAGTACCAGGCAGTGAGTGTAAGTACCAGGCAGTGAGTGTAAGTACCAGGCAGTGAGTGTAAGTACCAGGCAGTGAGTGTAAGTACCAGGCAGTGAGTGCAAGCACCAGGCAGTGAGTGTAAGTACCAGGCAGTGAGTGTAAGTACCAGGCAGTGAGTGTAAGTACCAGGCAGTGAGTGTAAGTACCAGGCAGTGAGTGCAAGCACCAGGCAGTGAGTGTAAGTACCAGGCAGTGAGTGTAAGTACCAGGCAGTGAGTGTAAGTACCAGGCAGTGAGTGTAAGTACCAGGCAGTGAGTGTAAGTACCAGGCAGTGAGTGTAAGTACCAGGCAGTGAGTGCAAGCACCAGGCAGTGAGTGTAAGTACCAGGCAGTGAGTGCAAGCACCAGGCAGTGAGTGCAAGCACCAGGCAGTGAGTGCAAGCACCAGGCAGTGAGTGTAAGTACCAGGCAGTGAGTGTAAGTACCAGGCAGTGAGTGCAAGCACCAGGCAGTGAGTGTAAGTACCAGGCAGTGAGTGTAAGTACCAGGCAGTGAGTGTAAGTACCAGGCAGTGAGTGAAGTACCAGGCAGTGAGTGCAAGCACCAGGCAGTGAGTGTAAGTACCAGGCAGTGAGTGTAAGTACCAGGCAGTGAGTGTAAGTACCAGGCAGTGAGTGTAAGTACCAGGCAGTGAGTGCAAGCACCAGGCAGTGAGTGTAAGTACCAGGCAGTGAGTGTAAGTACCAGGCAGTGAGTGTAAGTACCAGGCAGTGAGTGTAAGTACCAGGCAGTGAGTGCAAGACCAGGCAGTGAGTGTAAGTACCAGGCAGTGAGTGTAAGTACCAGGCAGTGAGTGTAAGTACCAGGCAGTGAGTGCAAGCACCAGGCAGTGGGTGTAAGTACCAGGCAGTGAGTGTAAGTACCAGGCAGTGAGTGCAAGCACTATCCCGTGTCAGAGGCTAGCGTAGTCACCCTACAGTACACACAGTCTTCCTCCGTCAGGAGACAGTGACGGATCATCCTGTGTTTACGACCCACGTTAGAACTATTGTCCCGGCGAATCTTATGGATAATTAAGTTACAAACCCATTGGCAAAATATTTAATACAAAAAGATGAATAATTATATACTCTCAACCCCTGTTAGTTGTATACTAGAAGCCTCGGGTCGAGACCCAGGAGCTGGGTCGATGACCACGGTCATTGAATTTGGTAGCGCACAAGTGCCAAATGACCCATACGAGTTTAGCGCTTCCCACGATGATAATGGTAATAATAATAATTAAGAGAAATTCTAATTGCATCAGTAATATTAATGTTTGTGTGTACATGGTTATACCAACACAGCCATGTACACAGTGTACACATGTACTCACCGACAACATGCGTAAACAAGTACTCATCAATAAAGAGTAGAGGTGTAGACAAGTACTCACCGACAACATGGAGGTGTACTCTAGTGTTGAGCGTCGGTGACGACTGGAAGTCAAGGCGACAGCGGTACAGACCCTGGTCACTGTACTCCACTTGATGAACCAGTAGTGTCCAGTCCAGTCTGTCCTTCTTGTGTGTGAGGCGACCTGGCGGGTACTGGGAGTCGTGTTTGATACCAGACACCAGCTCCTGGTCCCTGAGTGTGAGGTGGCCTGGCAGGTACTGGTAGTTGTGAGTGATACCAGATACCAACTCCTGGTTATTGCGTGTGAGACGACCTGGCAGGTACTGGTAGTTGTGAGTGATGCCAGATACCAACTCCTGGTCCCTGCGTGTGAGACGACCTGGCAGGTACTGGTAGTTGTGAGTGATACCTGACACCAGCTCCTGGTCCCTGTATGTGAGGTGGCCTGGCAAATACTGGTAGTCGTGAGTAATGCCAGACACCATCTCCTGGTCCCTGTGTGTGAGGTGGCCTGGCAGGTACTGGGAGTTGTAAGTAATTCCAGACACTAGCTCCTGGCTCCTCACCCTCGAGTCCACACTGTGAAGGTACCAGACAGCTCGTGTCGACTGTCTTTTACATAAAAACGCTTGCAGTGTTGCTGCCAAGTATTATGTAAAGTGTGTGTGTATGTATATGTGTTTGTGTGTGTGTGTGTGTGTGTGTGTGTGTGTGTGTTGTTGTGTGTTGGGGTGTGTGTTGTGTGTGTGTGTGGTGTGTGTGTGTATGTTGTTT